TAACTATATTATTTTTTATATTTAAAATTACAAGAATTTTAATAAAGCTGAAGAATTTTACGAAACTTAAAATTTGCATTTAAGAAATGATTCGCTCATAGGAAAAAAAATATATTTGTTCGTGAGAAAAAAAAGAGACTATTTATTTAACATAAGACTTAAAAATATATTAAATCTTACGTAATAATGCATTAAAACTATTGATATTTTTAATAATTCATAATAAATTAATATTTTAATAAATCATAAAGTGATAGAAATAGTACAAATAATGAAATGGTTTATAAATATTTATTGAAGTTAATATTCAACAAAATAAAAAATTATTTTTAAATAAAATTCATATTATTCATTATTTTTTTAAATAAAAAAAAATCACAAAATGAGTTTGCGATATCCTTATGAAGGATGTAATTGAACCTTTATGAAATAACAAGGATTAATTCAATATATCCTATATTGGCATCCTTTTGTAAAAAACGAATAAGAAGAAATACAAGATAATGTTAGTAATGATGATACAAAACTTTTTTGAAATAACAGTTTATTCGAAGAATTGAATTTATTTAAAAAAGACTCACCTCGAGTTAAATCGACTAATTTTGTTAACATAAAGGTATGTTTTTAAATCAAACAACATTTAATACAATTATCAATTATATCTATTACTGACCTAATATATAAATGTATATTAAAAGAATTCGGAGAACCTTTTAACAGATGAAATATTATTAGAAATACAAAACTTTCCTGATTCTCCTTTGTTGCAAGAACTTGATAATGATAAAATTACGGATAATATGGATGATAACAAAGACTTTATAGATGATTCAGATATAGAAATTGATTCAGTGGACTCTGAAGATTTTTGTGGAGCTAGCTTTGAAGATGCAGTAAATGATATAATTGAAAAATATATTTCACAATGGCCTAATGATACTTATCAAGAATTTACAGAATTATGTATCAAATACGAACTATCAAACTAAGCAACCGATTTGCTTATTCGCTTCTTTAACAAAAATGCAAATTTAGACGAGTCACCTTTACCAAGAAATGCTAAAGATATGTACAAATTTATGAACTCTATAGTAGCACTGAATCTCAATTATAAAAAGAAGTATATAATAGAATTTGAGAATATTTCATATAATCTTTATTATCGTCCAATAATAAAGGCAATTAAAGAACTCCAGAAACTGAAAATGACTCAAAATTTTGCATTTCAGTTCAAAGAAATGAGAAAAATAAATAAAGTAAGTAAATTTTTGTTATTTTTAATTAATTAGCGATACTCAGTTATAATTACTTAACCTTAGCATATTTATAGGATGGTAGTTCTTCTCGCATTTTTACTGAATAATATAATTGTGATTAGTAAAGACAAACAGAATCTGATTTAAAACTTGAAAACTGAATTTTGTCATTGATAATATATTCTGATGTGATATTGTATGACAATTTAGGTAAAACTCAACAGCACCCAATATTTCTCATTTTAGGTAATATTCCTTCCTGGCAAAGAAACAAAAAGAATGCCAAAGTATTACTAAAATACTTGCTAATCAGAATATTTTCGAAGGTTTTCATATAGCATTACAAAATGATGTTAAAGTATTATTCTTCATCCTATATTAAAACTGGAAGAAATGAAATTAACGGTTAAAGGTGTACAAGTTACTTTCACTCCAAAAATCTCTATGTTTATTACAGATATGTTAGAAGCCTACGCAATTATAAATACCTATAAGTCAGCCAAATGTAATATGCTATGCTTAAATTGTACAATACTTATTAAAAACTTAAATAATATGAATCTCTTAAAGGAAGACATAATCATGCAAACATCCGAATTGATAGCTTTTGCAATTCAAAAAGGAGGTGCTCATGAACATTCAATTCATGGTCAAAAAAATATTTTTTGGGATTTTCTGTAAGTAGTATAAATTTATTCATTTAGCTTAATTATATTTCTTTATTATAATATTAATTATAAATTTAATAATTAAAATTCAATAATTCTGTTTAACAAATTAAAAGCAATTTAAATATATATGAAGCAACCTTACCTGATCGAATGCATCACTTAGATCTAGGACTTTTCAGATATATATTGGATTATACACTAGAACTCTTGAACAAATAATGTGGAAATCGTGCAATCAAAGAGTTTAATAACAGACTAGCAGTAATTTCAAAATTCCTTAGATTAAAGATATTCAATAATTGTATTAATGTCATATAAACAGCCGATGAGCATTGAAATATAATGAAAGTGATAATTTCGATACTCAATAGTTTATTTGATAACAAAGATTTACTTATTAAAGAGCAAAGTCATAATAACAATCATCCAAATATATTATCGATTTGAATAACTTTAGTGTTCCTTTCTTTCATACGTATGTATATGATGAGTCATATAGAGGAATTTTCGGAAGATGACTTATATGAATTTGAGGTAAAAACAATTAATGTTTCTTTCACAAAATTATATGATTTAACTATTTACATAGAATACTTATCTTGTAGGATTTAATAGTATCATGGAGCCATGAATTTGTAGATATATTTGCTCGATTTAATCCAAATGATTTATAATTACCTAAATTACATTCTTGGAGATATCATGTGGTTTCTGCTATTCATCGGTTTAGGGCTATCAATTGATTTACGGCAGAAACATACGAGACCTTACATAAGTTTTATGTTAAAAATCCATATCATAAAAGTAACAAGAAAAATGTTATAAACCAGATTATAAATAAGGTAAAGTGATATATTTATTAAACTATAAAATCATTGAGAATATAATTACTAATTAATGAATGATTTGTACTTAATCTAGGTCTGACAAAAAGCATTAACAGAACTTGAGAGTCACACTATAATATGAAAGGGTGGTATAATATCAGCTAAACTTCGAGATGTATACATATCATCATTTGATGAACATTTGCAAGCTTAGTAATAATTAGAAACAATACATCCTTTACAACTTGAAGAAATGGAAAATTTACTTACATCTCTTGATACTTTTTTGGACAACACATCAATCACTTCTCTCGATGATGATGATAGTTTTGTACAATTATACAAAAGTGTGACATTACAATCTATAGATATTGTTTATACTTCATTTTATAATAATGCTTTACGGTTTAGCGACGTGACTATTGTAATGGATACAGAAGAAGCTGTTAATTATATTACAGATTGAGAGGTATACTTTGTAAAGGTTAGCAATGAATTAAGCGATTTTTATTTTCAAGTTTAAATTTTTTCAGAATTTCATATCTTCTTTAACATTAGATATTGTTATTAGGAGAATTATTTGCTAACAGCTTACGTAAAACTGCAAATTTCACTTTTGCAATGGTAAAATGGTATGATTATTATAAATCAAACTGGAAGTATAATGAGGCTTCAGAAATTTATAGATGTCTTCGATTATCAATGTTAGAAGATTATAATGTAATACAGTTAGATTCCATAGCATAAGCTGTTCATATTATACCAAGATTTCATAAAAAAAATGAATTCCTGGTTAATAAATATATTTTTTAACAAACTGAATGGTCATTTTCATCATTTTCCTAGTCAGTTTTTTTTAAAAAAAAAGAATCTTCATAACATGGCTGATAAGAAGTAATAAATAAAAAATTGAATTGCTAATCCTTACATTTACGTATTTATATATTTTTTAAAAATGTTGTATTTCTGAATATTACATAAATTTGTTTAATATTTGATGATCTTTGTATGATGTCTAGTGATACCTAATGAAATTACCTTTCTTAATATGACGAAATTGACGAAACTGAAATGACGAAACTAGTTTTTTATTAATGACGAAATTATTTTACTTAATTGCCGAAATTATATTTAACTTAATCTAAATTCCTTAAATTAACATACATCAAAAAATATAATAATTTTATATTTATTTATATAAAAATATTACAGAAATGAAATTTTTGACGAAATTACAATTTTTCAAAAAAGAGTTTAGTCAGATATCATTAATGATGTCATTTTTAATGAAATGATTGCCAAAGATTTCTAAAATCGAATATATAAGCATTTTTAAATGGATAATTTTATCAAATTTTATCTAAATTTAAAAATCTCTGATAATACTTATCTTATATGACTTCCTGATGTATACTAGTAAAAATTCAAGAACTTCTTATTATTTTTCTTAAATTATTAATAAAATTATCTAATTTAATTTATTTTTTAGATCTATTTGTCTTATAAAAGATAAGTTTATATAAGTTGAATTCTATGATGTTAAAAGATATAATATTTTGTATTTGAATAGATTTAGTATTACTTGATACTAGGGTTCCTCAAAATCAAATCAAATCAAATATTTAAACAATTTGAATTTGATTTGATTTTTTTAAATTGAATTGAATTGAATTAAATTGAACTCAAATATTTGATTGAATAAATTTGAATCAATTTGAATCAAATCGAATTGAATAGTGATTCAAATCAAATAAGTCATATAGCTACTTGTGAACTGTGCGCACCATATAATAATCAGCGCAATCCTAGTATTTGTTAAATTAAATTAAATCAAATCAAATATTTGATCCAATCGAATTGAATTGTATTTAAAATTTTTTTTAATTTTTACAATAATATATTAAAATAAATTATTCTAAAGTTTTAATTAAGAAAATTATTAGTAATTGCACTAAAAAATTTCAAAGATAGCTTTTATAAAGTAAGT